GAAATGTAATGTATGCTAACCAATAAAGTAGAAGAAGTCAAAAAATAATATAAATTCAATAAAATAAGTTTAATCGAATGATGTATATATATGTTACGGTCAAAGCCCGAAGTGCGGCCAAAGCCCGCATTGGCCGGCCAATGTGCGCATTGGCCGGCTCTCTTGGCCAAAGTTCGAAGACGTTTAACTTGAAAGCGTATTTCCTACATTGGCCAGCCAATGCGCGCACTGGCCGAGATGTCCTATTTAGACTAAGTTGTGATTGCGTTTTCATTATTCTTGGTGCGGTTTCATTGTGAGTAACGTATCGTTTGTATAGCATTGTATATGCCATGCGACATGGTCTAAAAGGGCAGTAAGACCAAGAGACAGACATACCAGACTTTGACCGGTCAATGGGAGGTGATATTGGCCAATGCGTGCTTTGGTCGACTTCGGGCTTTGAACGTAACACACGTAAAAATATTTCTGTAATATATATACAATTCAATATACTTATATCCAAGCAATTAAAACATAATACATTCTTAGATATGTAAACGGCTGAATGAATATTTACTCTCGCACTCCTCTCTCACCCCCGTATTTCAGGCTGGAAGGGTATCTTCTGCTACCCCTGTCTCGAGTGTCAGGTAGCCTCAGACATGGGCGAGGCCTTCTGTTTACCTTACTGTGTACCTGGTTGGCTGGTTGTGCTTAGGACCATGATGAGGAAACAGCGGAATATTAAGGTAGGTGGCGGAAAATCTATCTATATTAATCTATAAGTATAATTTTCTTTATGGGCAAGACGATACAAGCTGATTATTTAACCCCTCTTCCGCCCCCTCTGTTGCTCTCCAGGAATGCGCAAAAGACCATTTCGCTACCACCCCCATCCCCACCAGTCTGGTGAGCTGTGGTTCACCCCCAATGTTTACAATCGTGGAGCCGGGTCGAATTAATGACTGCTATTAGGGGCAGATAATTTAGCTTTTAAACGATTTGAAACTAAGGGGAGGTAAGAAGACATGCTTGGTCTTTTTATTGTCATCTGTAAGCTGTCGTCACTGACGGCTGCTTTCACGGGGGCGGTATTGGGGGAAGGGTAGTGTCGATTCACAAGTTATGAATTACTTATCGGCTTGTAGAAATTATTAAACGAACAGCTCCATCTTGTTGTTAGGTGTAAACATTTGTATTTATAACTGGCTTCCCATTTCTGCAGAACTTGTAAATGTCTTTTAAAGCGTGACGGAAGACTGCCGTGCACCTGGACGCCCCTTAGATCCGGCTATGGATTGTTTCAAATGTATCTCCCCCCCCCTACAGGGTAGTGTGACGGAAGACTGCCGTGCACCTGGACGCCCCTTAGATCCGCCTATGGATTGTTTCAAATGTATCTCCCCCCCCCCCCTACAGGGTAGCGTGACGGAAGACTGGCGTGCACCGGGACACCCCTTAGATCCGCCTATGGATTGTTTCAAATGTATCTCCCCCCCCCCTACAGGGTAGTGTGACGGAAGACTGCCGTGCACCTGGACGCCCCTTAGATCCGGCTATGGATTGTTTCAAATGTATCTCCCCCCCCCCTACAGGGTAGTGCGACGGAAGACTGCCGCGCACCTGGACGCCACTTAGATCCGCCTATGGATTGTTTCAAATGTATCTCCCCCCCCCCCCCCTACAGGGTAGCGTGACGGAAGACTGGCGTGCACCGGGACACCCCTTAGATCCGCCTATGGATTGTTTCAAATGTATCTCCCCCCCCCCTACAGGGTAGCGTGACGGAAGACTGCCGCGCACCTGGACGCCACTTAGATCCGCCTATGGATTGTTTCAAATGTATCTCCCCCCCCTACAGGGTAGCGTGACGGAAGACTGGCGTGCACCGGGACGCCCCTTAGATCCGCCTATGGATTGTTTCTACCCCCCCCCCCCTACAGGTTAGCGTGACGGATCACTGCCATGCACCTTAGAACCGCCTATGGATTGTTTCTAATCTATCTCCCCCTCCACAGGGTAGCGTCATGGACGACTGCCGTGAAATCAGCTGCTGCCCCCAACTAGTCCTGTGTCAGCTAGCACGTGAAATCAAGGCCATCAGACAAGAACAAAACATACCAGGCTGACATTCTTCCCCCGCGAGTGTCGCCGGGTGACACCCAACCTAGGGACGCCACCTAACCTGGCATGCGTGTGGATTTATAAAACCTTGCTTGCACATCTGCTAATCACATTTTGTTTATTATATCATATTGCACAATATATTTTGAAAAATGAATTGTATCTTTTGTATGTGAAGTAAAATATTATAATTATTTTGATGAAAATAACGTTATATATTTTAAAATTTCATACATGTATATTCGCAGATGTAAAAAATATTATTATGCTTAATGAAGTGTAGTGTGTAAAATAAACGTTTTAACATCAAACGTGTTTTGTTTTAGAAACAATAATAGTTGTTAGCTTTGTTAAAATGATATTAAAAACAGAAAAGGCAAAATTCAAATGATATATAATAGAATATAAAAATATGATCTAAGAAATTTTTTAGCCTCAATTCACAACTAAAGCAAAATTCTGCACTAATCCAATTAATAGCAGTAAGCAGCACCATTTCAAACCTGGCGGTACATGGGGCAGGTGAAGTAGAGTTGACCTGTTTCAGTGAAATTCTCAAGTTCGAATCCAGATCGAAGTCAGTTGAAAGTCCTTGAGTCCACCCAGCTCTAAACTCATGTCAGGGAATGTAACGGCAGCTGGACATAGTGCTGACCACACTATACATTCATAGGCCGAGGTCACAGAAACAGGTGAACTCTACTTCACTTAACCCGTCAGGTTCAAAAAGGGAAAATTACGTTACTTTTTTATTCTAATGCAAATATCCCCCTCTCTCCCCCTCCCCCCCCCATAAGGTTAATCAGGGGAGATGTAACCTCACCCCAAACCCCCATTGCAACAGTTTTCTCAACACCCCGATGTATGTTCTTAACGTAAGCTTTACCATTATGATAAATGGTAATGATATAATTACATGTTCAAAAACATATTTCTTTCAGTCCGATTTCTGGTTCTACAAATCGATCAATAAATCAATGATTTTACAGCATCTATTCGTATTTCATCGCTTCGTGCCTGCTCTTGTATTCATAGGACCCCGGGCATTGTTGCTAGGAGTATCAGATTTCCTTTATCATGTGGTAGAGTTCAATGCGAATTTATTGCCGATCATTGAAGGTAATCAATATTTTATAAAGTACGATGATACGGGTTGTTTTTCTGTATTGAGCGGTATAAAGGAAAGGATTGATTTTAGGATATTGCGGATGAATTGGGTGTGTGTGTGTGAGGGGGCGGCAAAGGAGGAATATGCATAAGATACGCAAACCACTGAGCGGGAATGTTTGGCGTAGTCTTATTTGTGGCTAAGTCGGACATGTTGGATATTGGGAGGGGGTGGGGGGTATGGAGGAAATCATGCACTAGTAATAAGCATATCAAAGAGCGGCCATGTTAGGTTAAGACTAGTTTGATTGGCGACCGAGATGGAAATAGTTCCGCGCTGGAGTGTACGATTGGCTGTTGGAATCTTCGTAAACAATCAGGACGTTTTAGGCTCGTTTACATGAGAAAACCGTCTCACTTACACAGGTGACTTACAAACATAAACACCTGTCTGTTCTGACAAACACCACTATACAAAACTACACATAGCTACAAGAATACTTACAACTACACAGCTTAACACAGCTCCACACAACTACACACAGCCACATAATTTTACATACAGCTACAAAAGTACTCACAAATACACACAGCTACACCTATATACACACATATACTCACAGATACTTATCGATACACATATACACACATACTCACAGATACACACATACTCACAGATACATACAGATACGCACAACTACACACATATACACACAGATACACACATACTCATAGATACACACAACTACACACACAAACTCTCAGATACATACATACCCACAGATACACACATACTCACAAATACACACAACTACACACATATACACACAGCTACTCGCTCATACACACCAATCCACAAACTACGCAGGCTCTCAGACCAATCACACATACACGCAACTAACAATAAATACATTAACTATATGAACGAGCACACATACCTTTCTACACGAAAACACACACACACACACACACTCACACGAGTATACTTTACAATTATAAACTTATGACAAAATACGTCTAAACCTCCAGCGAAATTTCCAAAACCTAAAGATTTAAATCAAAACCTCCATACATTTCTAAGACCGCCTATTTAGATTTTGTCCAAATTCTACTTAAAACATTAAATACAGAAACTGAAAGTCTTGCATTAATCTTGCACGCAAATCCTGTTTCACTTTCTGTTTTGTTCAGTTCAGTGCGGAAATAAAGTCACATAAAAAATGTCATGGAAACAAATCATAGGAAAAAAGTCATAAAGAAAAAAAGAATACAGAATCATAAAAAATGCCACAGATAAAAAAAAATGTCGTAGGTATTAAGAGAAGAAAGTCACAAGATAAACTTTACACATCTCTAATTAATAAATTAATGTATAATTGGGTTGTATCAAATATAATGACACCGCCCGCATCCTCAACTAGTATTCGACACAACAACGCTGACACCAATTAGAGACAGCTCTAATGACCTTGGCCTTAGCTTCTCAAACAACGTTCACGGTGCAATTACCGCTGGTAGTGCAAGATTCCCTGCAATAGAAGACAATTCTAAAGAATACTAAAAATAAATTTGTGTGTGTTGTGGTTACGGTATCTAAGCGGACATAAACAAAAATCTGTGCCATTCGCGCATGCGCACGCTGGCTGAGCAGGAAACGTGGTGCTTGTGTTTTTTTCCCCTGACAGATTTATATAGATGAATGGACGCTGCTTTAGTTCAGCATCATGGTGGCTAGGCTACGGTAACCAGACGACAGCGGGGCCCGCGTGACGTAGTCGCCCTTTGCGTTGGTGGATGACGCTGGCCCCGTTTTCACTCAGGTCTGCGGCGCACCAGAGATCTGGCGTGACGTCATAGCGCAGCTGCGGTCCACTGGACGTACGAGGTTGACAGAATCCGGAGGTCTGAGCAGTAGACGTGACGTACTAGGCGAGTTTGTGACGTAAGTACATGTCGTCGTGATTTTAAAAGGCAACAAAGTCAGCCAAAGCAGGTAAACTGTCTACTACTATATTTTAGCATATTATATGTTTTTTTGTTGTTTTTTTTTTGAATATCTGGATCGCATAAAAAAATCGGTTAAGATAAGAAAAGATAGTTAAGAAAAATATAAATTTTTATTTAAACGCTTATTTCTTAGATATAGCGAATTGACTTCATATAGAGAAGTAAATTAAAAGAAAGTTTGTGTGTGTTTGAGTATAAAAAAAAAAAAAAAAAAAAAAAAATAATATATATATATATATATATATATATATATATATATATATATATATATATATATATAAATCCAGTGGGGTAGCCAGGCTCGTCTCAAGGGGGGGGGGGGTTCCAATTTTTACCCGGGGACAAACTTTCGATTTGCACTCCCCTCAGACTTTTAATTTGCACCCCCCTCAAACTTTCGATTTGCACCCCACCCTCATACTTTATATATATACCGAGGGGTCTATGGGGGGTTATGACCCCCCTAAACCCCCCCCCCCCCCCCTGCCTACTCCACTGTATAAATCGTGTCAATCAGCATTCGTCAGACATTTAACAAGCTACAAGATGCTCTCACGATATTCACTAAAAACAAAACATTTATTTCTATTTTTAGACACCGGAGATTCGCCCATAACACATGGAAGAACACAGAAAAAGCGTAAGTGTGAGATGTTAGCTTTACTGGTCGCAACTTGACAACATTTAAAACTAGAATTTTTGTGTTGCTGTCCATACACTGACGTGTCCATATCACACATTCACTAATGAGGTCGTGTTATGTTGTACGCCTATTTTTTTCTAACTATGCTGTTCTGTTGTATTTCGGTATTAAAGCTGCCGTGCTTTTATATATATATTTTTTTGGATATTTAAAAGAACAACCAAACTAAGATAGTGCAGATTACAATTTAATTCATCCAAAAGTTATCAAAGTAGTTGATGCAGTCTTTTCTTTTGGTGTGGGGGTTGCTACGTCACGCTCCCTGTTGTCACATAACGTCAAAGATTCCTCCTAAAATTATTTTGGGCGTTGGGATTATGACGTCACTCTTCTTATTGACACGTTTCGTCAAATTTCCCCCTAAAATTTAGTAAGAAATTTTCATACACCCAAGCTAAAAAATATAAAAACAAACATATTTTCACCAATTTATCTTAAACATTGAAAACAATACTTGGTCACATTTCTTTAGATTCGACTCATCTCTTCCTTCCCCACATGCACTGACTTAAGTAGCTCATCTTCGTGAAAGTCTGACCCCGTTCCCTAGGTTGTGACGTCATTTATACCTAACCTGTCCCCCACGACACTGTTGAACGAGCTCTTGTTCTATTTATCGATCATCAACCACACTAGCTTGTGTTAACGCGTCATTTTTAACAAACGAGATCAGAAATCGATCATTTTTTCGAATGCGAATTTAAAAATCGATACATTGATTTTGACGCCAAAACATGTCTGCGCGTTTGTAAAAACAAGGAAATCAATTTGTAGAAAGGGCAATAACTGACATTGTTTATTGAGAGATTTGAGCCTGCACTTGTTGACTATGGGGAAAAATGAAAAAAAAAATTAATTAACTTAGTTTAGTTAATGCAAATTAACGGCTGGTTTAAGAGACTTAAGCTGGTTATATTTCCCTAGCATTAGAACTGTATTTGACTTAACGTTAATGGTAACTGACCCTCACACAAAGAAAAACTAGAGATGCTACCGTCTTCATCATCATCACCATCATCACCATCACCACCACCATCATCATCATCAACAACATCATCATTATCTTCATCATCATCATCAACACCATAATCATCATCATCATCATCACCATCATCACCATCACCACCACCACCACCATCATCATCATCATCATTATCTTCATCACCATCATCATCATCATCATCATCATCATCATCATCATCACTGCCCGTCACCCCTGCTGGGGTATGGGCCGCCAACTAAAGATCTCCAGAGTCCTCTGTCCTGCTGGGGTATGGGCCGCCAACTAAAGATCTCCAGAGTCCTCTGTCCTGCTGCGGTAAGGGCCGCCAACTAAAGATCTCCAGAGTCTTCTGTCCTATGCCATCTTCTCGACCTAACTCCACGTGAAGCCCATCTTTGTGGTTTCAGCTTCAATGTCCAGTCGCCAGGTGTTTCTTGGTCGGCCACTTTCTTTGTGGGTTTCATCTCAATGCCTGCTTGGGGATATCGATTGGCGGTCGCCACAACATCATCTTCTTTTTACAAGCTTTTATTTAACTCACTTCCTCTGTCTGTCGTCAGTCTGTCTAGACCGAAACGCCGGAGTGAAAATTCGGAAACTTCTATTTGACTGATACGATTCACACTTGGCACGTGGGTCAAGACATGAAGACAATGCAATCTGAAATTAAATTTGACTTAATTGGATGCCTAATTAATTTTTTATAAATTAATTAAAATGTGGACCGAATTAGTAGGCATGTCTAGCCAACCACACCACACGCGTCATCACGTTCAATAGCTGCGCCATCACGGCACGTTCAATAGCTGCGCCATCACGTTCAGTAGGCGCGCAATGGTTTTTAGTCATGTAACTCTATTATAAATAAAACATGTAAAGTACTGAAAAAAATTCATAAAAAAACTTTTTAATAACAAGCTTTTATGTAATAATGCACTAAAAAGTAGAAAATAAATTACAGACTACTATTTAAATAACTATAAAGAAAAGCGTGGGTGTCTTCCTTAACATTAGTATAGGTATCCAATAGATACTAAAGTGGCCCACGCTTTTCTTTATAGTTATTTAAATAGTAGTCTATAATGTATTTTCTACTTTTTAGTGCATTATTACATAAAAGCTTGTTATTAAAACGTTTTTTATGAATTTTTTTACAAGCTTTTATTTAACTCACTTCCTCTGTCTGTCTGCCTAGATCGAAACGCCGGAGAGAAAATTCGGACAGTTTTACTTGACCGATACGATTCACAGTTGGCACGTGGGTCAAGACATGAAGACAATGCAATCTGAAACTAAATTTGACTTAATTGGATGCCTAATTAATTGTTTATGAATTAATTAAAATTTGGACCGAATTAGTAGGCATGTCTATCCAACCACACCACACGCGTCATCACGTTCAATAGCATGTCATCACGTTCAATCGGTGCGCGCTATGGTTTTTAGTCAAGAAACTCTATTGTATTTGTAAATAAAAACATGTAAAGTACTGAACAAAATTCATAAAAAAAGTTTTAATAACAAGCTTTTATGTACTAATGCACTAAAAAGTAGAAAATAAATTATACACTACTATTTAAATTACTATAAAGAAAAGCGTGGATCACTTTAGTACTTTAGTACCTAATGGATACCTTTACTAATATTTGAGAAGAGACCCACGCTTTTCTTTATAGTAATTTAAATAGTAGTGTATAATTTATTTTCTACTTTTTAGTGCATTAGTACATAAAAGCTTGTTATTAAAACGTTTTTTTATGAATTTTTTTCCTAATTATCATCAGAAAGTTGTCCTGTCGTTTCACGTAGGTTTGCATTGTGGATGTTGTTGGGCCAGTAGAGCATTGTCTGCTATCATTATAATTTCTGCCTGAACACAACCTGCTATATATTCTTCTGTATTTTTTTCATTTCATAGAGCCAAGTTCCACCTGAAGTGGTCACCGGTAACCCTAGTGCCCCCATCCACCCTCAACCCCATTACCCAGGGGAGCCCGGGCCCCCGTCTTACTCAGGGGGCCCACCCAACAACCAGTGGTACGCGGGGGGCCCCGTGACCAACCAGCCACCCGCCTACTACCGACCCGAGCCCAACCAAGTCCAACCCATCAGCATGATCAGCGCCCCGGTCAACCAGATCAGCAACCCGGTGTCCCAGAGCAACAACCAGTCAACCTCGGTCGTCATCAACCAACAGGTACAACCCCAGGGGCAACAGCAGCAACGGATGTGGTCATCAGGGATCTGCGACTGCTTCAACGACTGTGAAATCTGTAAGGTGTTTCTTCACTTATCATTACATTCATTACTTCAACGACTGTGAAATCTGTAAGGTGTTTCTTCACTTATCATTACATTCATTACTTCAACGACTGTGAAATCTGTAAGGTGTTTCTTCACTTATCATTACATTCATTACTTCAACGACTGTGAAATCTGTAAGGTGTTTCTTCACTTATCATTACATTCATTACTTCAACGACTGTGAAATCTGTAAGGTGTTTCTTCACTTATCATTACATTCATTACCTCAATAACTGTGAAATCTGTGAAATCTGTGAAATCATTACATTAATTACTTCAATGACTGTGAATCTGTAAGGTGTTTCTTCACTTATCATTACATTCATTACTTCAACGACTGTGAAATCTGTAAGGTGTTTCTTCACTTATCATTACATTCATTACTTCAACGACTGTGAAATCTGTAAGGTGTTTCTTCACTTATCATTACATTCATTACTTCAACGACTGTGAAATCTGTAAGGTGTTTCTTCACTTATTATAACATTCATTACTTCAACGACTGTGAAATCTGTAAGGTGTTTCTTCACTTATCATTACATTAATTACTTCAACGACTGTGAAATCTGTAAGGTGTTTCTTCACTTATCATTACATTAATTACTTCAACGACTGTGAAATCTGTAAGGTGTTTCTTCACTTATCATTACATTCATTACTTCAACGACTGTGAAATATGTAAGGTGTTTCTTCACTTATCATTACATTCATTACTTCAACGACTGTGAAATCTGTAAGGTGTTTCTTCACTTATCATTACATTCAAGGTGTTTCTTCACTTATCATTACATTCATTGCTTCACTTATCTGAAATCTGTTATCTATTTTTTTCATTATTATTACATTCATTGCTTCAATGACATAAATCTGTAACCTCTTTCTTCACTAAATCATTACCTATATTCAGTGGCGTAGCGAGGTCGGGTGTCACCCGGTGCGGCACTTAATGGTGTCATCCTCAGAGGCGTAGCGACCCTTCCCGGGGACAAACTTTCAATTTTTGATTTGCACCCCACTCAAACTTTCGATTTGCACCCCCCTAAAACTTTCGATTTGCAACCCCCACCCCTCAAACTTTCGATTTGCACCTCTTAAAAGACTATTTTAACACTCGAATTAATCACTTAATTAGTGGAATTATCATTTTTCTCTATATATTTTGCTATTTTTGCCTTGGTGTCACCCCCCCTAAATGGTGTCACCCGGTGCGGTCCGCACCCCCCCCCCCTCGCTACGCCTCTGCATTTATTTTTGTAGTTTCTCGCTTTGTTGCTGTTAAAGTTCCAAATTAGAAAAAAAAATCTACTTTAAAAAAAAAATTCTAGTTTCATACCTGAGGGTGGGGGTGGAGCTGTTAAGACAAGGGTGCTAGACGGGTAAAAAAAACCACGAGTCCTGACTTATCTACATACAAATATATCAGTTAATCCATTTTGTTTTAATTTGTGTATTATAGCCAAATATGACAAACAATAGAATATCGCAGTATAGTTTAAGTGGATTTACGTGTCAGTAGAGTTAGCTACACTTTTAAACGTGTCTGTCAATTGAAAAAAATCAAGTACAGTGCTTTTCTAACCTCGGCAAATAATGGAATATTGTTGTCTAAATACTTTCCCTATAGGGCTGGTAAGTAGGTCACCAACCAGTTCTACGGCTCAATAAAGCCTGCATGAGCCGTAGAACTGTTTATTGACCTACTTACCAGCCCTGTATCCAATAGAGTGGGGTTGATGCCTAACGGATTGCTTCCCAAAATAATAATTTTTATCTATAACATTTGTTATCAATATATCTGCTTTTAGCTAGCTCGTCGGATAACATTTTAGCGTGCTAAGGGTGTAACACAATATCCCTTCATAGTCCGAGTTCCCTGAAACAGATGAACTCTACTTCATCTGCTTCATGTGTCGTGATTATGAACGGGAAAAGATGATGAAGAAGTGTGTATAAGGTTTCCTTGGTATTCTCAGCCCTCCCCCTCCACTTAAGCTGATACAATATTTGTTGTTAAACTTGACTTGACTTAGTCCTCTTTGCTCCTTATGGAGCATAGGGCCTCCGCCATTTCCTTCCATTTCTTCCTATCCTCGGCTATTAATTTTGACATCTCCCAAGACATCCCTATTGGCTTCAGTTCTTCAAGAAGACTCCGCCTCCAGGTTTGTCTTGGGCGCCCTCTCTTCCGCTTTCCCTGGGGGTTCCACTCAAGCGCTTGGCGTGTAACATTTGTGTGAGCCTTTCGCAGTGTGTGACCCACCCAGCGCCAATTCCTCCTTCTTATTTGCCCTATGAGGATAGGTTTCTTTTGCGACAGTAGTTTTGGGGCTGTGAATTTAGTTTTCCTTGGTTGAAGAAGGGGGGTCGGCTCTGTAGCTTCCTTACGGATTTGGCTGCATTGCGTCATACTTCTCCTAAGTGGAGCCCTGATTCTCCCGAGGACTGGATTTGTTTCGGATTTGGCTTCAGTTTCTGTAACTGTCTTTTGTTTTATGTGGACGAGTAGTTAGCCCATCGCACAACCCCCAACCTGGAGGACCAGGGCACAACGTTTGATCTGGCCCCTACCCACGCAGATCTGTCCGACTTGGTTAGACCTGCCAGGAGCAATAGGCTCCCGCCGGCATAGCTCTGGGGGTCGCTGGGGCACACAAGCCATCCCACCACTTCAAGGCGGTGTGCCATCAGGATGGGTTGTTAAACTTGATGTAATCTTATCTTCCTCCCCCCCCCAGGCTGCAAGGGCTACTTCTGCTACCCGTGCCTGGAGTGTCAGGTAGCCACAGACATGGGTGAGTCCTGCTGTTTACCTTGTTGTGTACCTGGCTGGCAGATCGTACTCAGGACTATGATGCGCACACAGAGGAATATTAAGGTACAATTTTTAAGATGTGTTTGAAATTATTCTATAATTAAATGATAAACGTTATTTATATTGATGAGTTTTCCAAACGCCAAAAGCTAAATAACAGAACTAAATAAATCTTATTATAAATGTTTTGTATTCGTACAATAGTAGGTTGATTGTGTAAAACTTCTTTCAAGCGAATTAGTCGTGTTTTTGTGCCAGAAAAAAGTTTAAAGTAGGCTATATATTGGGTGTAACGAATCTTAGGACTTTCCTCGTGAAGAAAATATTTTATTATCTCTAAATTGTTTAATCAGATATAATTTAAATAAGAATGTTAGCACCCCCTCCCACCAAGAAATACTTTTATCCTCAAATTTAATTTTAAAAAGATTCCAATTTCGAGTAAAAAAACCCAATCAAAACTTGTATTTGTTATTTAATAAGATGGACATTTTGATATGCATGCATTTTCTTTGGAGATGATCTTTTAATTTGATTTTTTTTTTAAAGATAGATCCATTAAAAAGCCTTTTAAGCATCCTTCTAGCAAGTAAAGCCGGTATAGAGCGTGAAATTCCCGAAAGTAGAAAAAAACCACATTAAAATAATTAAACCCTGAGTACAATCCCCCGCAAGAAAAAAACACACATTTAATTCAAGTAAATCTCCTAGTCAAATCCCCGCAACTAAAAAAGACACATTAAAATAGTCTCTAAGAGTAAAATCCCCGCAAGTAGAAAAAACCACATTAAAATATTCTCTCAGATTAAAATCCCCGCAACTAGAAAACACCACATTAAAATAATTCTCCCATCTTTTCCGCCAACCACAGGGATCCGTCATGGATGACTGCTGTATCGTCTGCTGCTGTCCTGCTCTGTCTCTCTGTCAACTGGCACGTGAGATCAAAGACATGCGGCGACAACAACCCAATCAAGTCCACTATTGATCCGCTAGTGATAGATTATCGATCTACTGTTGATTGGTTGTTGTTATTTCCACAGATTGTTATAGGTTCTTGTGATTTTTATGTTGCATGACCTTCATATTGGGCTTTAAGATAATGCACCAATTATAAGACGTGCAGTGTTTCTTTCAGGCTTTTTTCTCCCGGGGGGGGGGGGGGGGACGGACGGACTTAAACCTTTCTGGGTCGGGGGTAGGACTAAATTTTCTAGTGGTGTGGGAGGACATAGGTAAAAGTAAACATTTTCTATAGAAATTTATATTTCTTTTGGGCAGAGTTTCTTCCAGGCATCTTTTCGGGGGGGGGGGGGGGGGCGAAGCCCCCCTGAAAATTTTTTACCGCCCCCCCCCGGACGAAATGAAATTTATATAATTTATATAGAAAATATAAACTTTTAACAGTGTCCGCCCCCCCCCCCCCCGAAGAAAGTCTACCGCCCCCCCGAAAATTTCAAGTGCCCCCCCGGAGAAAAAAGTCTGGAAGAAACACTGCTTTTGGGTATGGGGCGGGGGGGGGGGGGAACAGGGAGAGGGGGGGGGGGGGGGAAACTCGACTTGTTTCGGGAGTGGGGGGGGGGGGGTTGTCTGCGCCACCGGAGAGACGCCTGACAGAAACATTGAAGGAGATAGAACGGTGGTTTTTAAATCATGTTATGTTATATGGGGTGGGGTGTTCGTTTATTTTTTATTTCTATCAAATGTTTATAGAACTGTGGTCATATTGAGTAATGTTCTATCTATAAAACTGTTTGTAATTATCTTTATTGTTCCTTTAAAAAGAAAATTTTTTGTCATTTAGAATAGTTTGGCAAATACCTGAGTACATCAGGAAAATATCACATATATTTAATAACATTTTTTTTACACTATATGATATTTTACAACAGTTTCAAATGAAAATGTATCAAGTGGTTTTTTAATAAAATGATGTGATTTTAATAATATAGTTTAATAACATACGCAGAAGAAGATAAGGCGGGTTCCACAACATCTATAACGAGCCGACCCCCGGCGTATCATACGCAGCTATTTAGATGTTTTATTTTCTACTTTTCAGTAATACATAATTTGTGAATTCGACAGTACCAACGCTGCCACTGAAAATATTTGCTTTAAATCACTATCAGTAGGTCGTTAAGGACGATAACCCCCCCTGCTTTCCCCCAACCCCCCCCCCCCCCCCGATTGTAAACATTTAGCGTGAACCACAGCTCACCAGACCATGTGGGGGTGGGGGTGGTAGGGATATGCCTAGAGAGGAAGAGAGGGGGCTGCTAGGCGCGCTTACAGCTTGGTGCTTTATATATATATATATATATATATATATATATATATATATATATATATATATATATATATATATATATATATATATATATATATATATATATATATATATATATATATATATAAGTGGTGGTTTGTGGGATTGCTACATGATAATGTATGGGGTGGATGATAGGTCCAAATTGTTACGTGTTTTGTGCACGATAGTCGATGGTGGTATTATTACAGGTTGTACATATCCAGATTTGAGATTATCCACTTGTTAATGTGGAACGGAGTGGTCTAACGGTAGAGATCTGGACTGCTAACCGGTAAGTCTCGAGTTCGAATCCGGGTCCAAGTCAGTAGACTGTCCCTGAGTCCACCCAACTCTGATGGGTACCTAACCAACGTTAGGGATAGGAAAAGCGGCTGGGCATAGTGCTGACCACACTATCCCTCCATATGCCGAGGTCACAGACCTTCAGGTTTGAAAAGGGAACTTCACTTTGCTTGTTACTTGATCTCCTACAATTACGATCAATCATCATATATATGGGTACATTTATGTATTGTTTTTTTTGGAAAACACAAGAAAATAATATTCAATAATGTGTTCAGATTAGATGGTTTATTGGATAACTGAAGTAGAGTTCTTCTGTGACCTTTGCCATAGAAAAGAATTTTTTAGTCAACTCATGCCAGGTATTCAATAGAGCTGAGTGAACTCATAGACGTCAGGCACTCGACGACTCGTGATTAGTATATGGCAGGGATCACAGTTTTAACTCAGTGAATCATTTCACCGTAGGGCAGATGAAGTAGAGTCCATCTTTTTCAGACATATGAAGGGATAGTGTGGTCAGCGCTATGCTCAGCCGCAGTTGCTTTCCCGAACGTGAGTTTGGTATGCGGATTCAAACTCGAGACTTTCGGGTTAGCAGGTCTAGCTCGTTACCACCAGGCCACTCAGTCAATAGCCATTGTTTTTTTTTCTTCTTTGTCTTCGTTTTTAATTTTTGTGTTGGAAGGGATTCGCACTAACACAATTTAGTATTACGTGTCAACTTGTTAATCGCCATCTAGGCCATTGACTCCGGTTTCAGCCTGCTTTTCTTTTTGGATTTGTTTCCATAGCCTTTGTCCAACCAAGAACAAACTACAAGGCAGCAGTTTTTGATTTTGGAGTTGTCTCTCCTAGTAGAGTTGCTTTCCCCAGCTATCGAGCCTTATCTGCCCGAGGGTTCGAACAATGAGCTTTTCCAACCCCTGTATTGTTTTGTCTGTTTAAAATATATAAAGGTGGAATACCTTAGCTGTGATATTACAAAACCTACATTTAAAAAATGTTTAATATGATCTTTCATGTTTTGTTTTTTAATTAAAAGAAATAATAAAATGTGTATTTCACTCGACTAAAATACGTTACATTAATTTATTTAGAGTGTTTCAGCTACACACCACTGGTTATTATACAGAGTTTCTTACAGGCATCTCTTCGGCAGAGACCCCCCCCCTCCCCCCCCCCCCCGAAGAAAGTCTACCGCCCCCAGAACGAAATGGAATTTATATAGAAAACATACTTTTACCAGTGTCCCCCCCCCCCCCTCTCCCGAAAATATCAAGTGCCACCCCCCCCCCCGGAAAAAAAGTCTGGAAGAAACACTGTCTATATAGGATAAAACATGTCGGTACTTACATACTTATATACCACAGGTCTATATAGGATAAAACATGTCGGTAGTTATATACCAATAGTCTAAATAAATAGGATGTATCATACCTTCAAATATATAGAGGTAAAAAAAAGTCTACTGCCCCCTTCCCCCCGAATGAAATATAATTTATATAGAAAATATATACTTTTATCAGTGTCCGCCACCCGACCTAGCAACGCCACTTCGTGTGTTTATAATTCCATGGCATTGTAAACTGTTTAGAAACTAATAATATAACAATGTAAAATTTCTGCATAACCAAAACGTCGAAAGCGACTAAGCTTTTAATGGATATTAGATCTAACTACAGCAGACTTGATCTGATGTTAAAGCAGACGAGATTGGTCATGTTGAGTCACGTGGTACGCTGTCAAGGATAAAGCACATGACTCTAATATATGCAACTCGTTTTACCTTGATCTAAGTTAGATAACTGCGCAATACATTTTTATTTGGATACATATTTATTTCGATTACCTCCCTTCGTAAGCTGTAAGAAATTCGGTTAACTTATTGCTTCAATTATTGCAACGGCAATGAAATACAGCAGACATCGCTTTGTACCAGTGTATATAATCGCATTTTCACAACAAGATATATATTGTAAACGTGTTATTTTTTAATTTCGTTATGCTTGTGTACCTCAGACATGTAATTTACAGCGTCAGTATGCCTTGCATACTTCGTTTTAGTATATCAATTGTATATATGGTAATTAAAGGGAGAAAGTACAATGGCATAAGATTATCAAGAACTAGACTAAAATAGGGTGTGTAACTCGGTTTATTTTGATTGCTTAGTTTACTGTGCTCCATCCTGAGCTGCGAAGTCAGAAGTTGACACTGTGGCTACCTATGACCAAAAACAAAAACGGCCGTGGGAAAAGGGTCTCTAGATCTATCATTCCAAAATTTTCCATGACACAAAATCATTTTATACTGCAGAAAACTAAAAACCACATAATAAATTACTGAAGGAAGATTTTTTTCGTGTATGTATTAACAATATGGTCTAGACTGAAAAAGTATTATGAATTGCCAATATGATATAAAATAAATTTACAAAACTCACAACTCCATTTTAGTTCCTAGAAGAAGAAACGATTTTTAAAAGAAAATTTAAAATAATATTAAAAAACAAAAATCTATGCAAAATCTCATTTCTTGACCCTATCCTTTTTATCTAAGCAAAACGTCACATTTGTCTCCCCTGTCAGAATGACTTTGGACAACTCTGTAAGTTCCCATTTTGCACCTACACATACAACGTGAGCCAAGCATTTTTAATCGAAACGTTCGATAACTCGAAGTGTCGTCACATCGGTGGAGATCAGCTTAAAGCAGACACAAAACATGACGATATAAGCTAATCAGGGATCGGTTGGGATCTTCGGTTGCCACCCCACTAGGGATCGGTAGGGGTCGCCAGCTGCTACTTCACTAGGGATCGGTAAGGGGTCGCTAGCTGCTACTTCACTAGGGATCGGTAGGGGTCGCCAGCTGCTACTTCGCTAGGGATCGGTAGGGGTCGCCAGCTGCTACTTCGCTAGGGATCGGTAGGGATCGCTAGCTGCTACTTCGCTAGGGATCGGTAGGGGTCGCCAGCTGCTACTTCGCTAGGGATCGGTAAGGGTCGCCAGCTGCTACTTCGCTAGGGATCGGTAGGGGTCGCCAGCTGCTACTTCACTAGGGATCGGTAGGGGTCGCCAGCTGCTACTTCGCTAGGGATCGGTAGGGGTCGCCAGCTGCTACTTCGCTAGGGATCGGTAGGGATCGCCAGCTGCTACTTCGCTAGGGATCGGTAGGGGTCGCCAGCTGCTACTTCGCTAGGGATCGGTAGGGGTCGCCAGCTGCTACTTCACTAGGGATCGGTAGGGATCGCCAGCTGTTACTTCGCTAGGGATCGGTAGGGATCGGTAGGGATCGCCAGCTGTTACTTCGCTAGGGATCGGTAGGGATCGGTAGGGATAGCCAGCTGCCACTTGGGACCGACCAAAACTCGAAGAGGCATTTGGGTCACCTTACTTATACGGTGATGTCTTTGTTGATGTGTATAGCATAGATCTCTTTGTTGATGTCGAGTATAGATCTCTTTGTTGATGTGCTTAGATCGTCTCCATGATGTGTGGCATAGATCGTCTCCATGATGTCTGTCATAATACTATTCGAAAGACATTATTTGAATTTTTAAAAACCTCCAAGCCATTTCAAGTGACCCTCTAAATTCTCTATTGCCTTTCTCTTAATTTTTAACCTCTAACCCCCTCTAACTTCTTACCTCTAACCTCTAACCTCCAATCCTCTAACCACTAACCCTCTCTACCCTTTAACCCTCTCTACCCTTTAACCCTCTCTAACCTTTAACCCTCTCTAACCTTTAACCCTCTCTAACCTTTAACCCTCTCTAACCTCTAACCCTCTCTTACCCTCTCTAACCCTCTCTAACATCTAACCCTCTATGACCTATAGCCGCTCTAACTTCTAACCTCTAACCTTTAACCCTCTCTAACCTTTAACCCTCTCTAACCTCTAACCCTCTCTTACCCTCTCTAACCCTCTCTAACATCTAACCCTCTATGACCTATAGCCGCTCTAACTTCTAACCTCTAACCTTTAACCCTCTCTAACCCTCTCTAACCCTTTCTATCCCTCTCTATCCCTCTCTATCCTCCCTATCCTCTTCACTACCAACTTTCTTGTCTCCGTTTTAGCCCATCTCTAACCCATCCCCTATTGCCCTAAATTCTTACCTCAAATCTCCGCTCTATAACCCCTTTATATTTGCAGCTAAATTGAGTTTATGTCATGAAGACATTTTATTGAAACGTCGCCAAAAAATCACTGATGTGGAAACAATCTAAAACGTCTTAACAACGCATATTTGAAGAATTTTCAACTTTCCCAGTAACCATCTCCTAATCCTGTAACTCTTCATTGATTTTCACCTCAACTTTTATCCTTAAACTGGGATTCGCTTTCACTCACTGTCCCATAAAAAAGCAATATTGCATTGGTCGGTATCGTCGGATTAAAAAAGTTATAAGAAAGTATTGACTTTTGATGACGTTATTTCAACAACAAAAAATCGCATGAATATTTTAGGGGAAATATTTTATGCGTGTATGACATTACTCAGCTGTCACTGTTGTGTTGGGGTGTTTGTCCAACAAACGTCTGGCAAAATGTTGGATACCTGAAAGTTGGTCAGTCATAGCGGCACGTGATATTTTTATTTTTAACAAGTTCCGGCAAGTAAGTTTGCTATTATAAAATTAAAGTTCTCTTCTGAATTTACGGTCCATGGTGTAGGTGAAGTAGAATTAACCTGTTTTATCGACTTCGGCATAGTGAGGTCAGAAATTTTGCTTAGTTGTATTTACTTTCCCCAATTCAAGTCAAGTACCCATCAGCTAGGTGGACATACTGGAGCCCGGGATTCTCTTCTTCTTCTTCGTTCTGAATTTTAGTCTTGGAGGGGATCCGCTCCAACACAATTAGGGATACATGTCAACTGGTTATGCGCCATTGAGGCCATTGACTCCGATTTCAGCCTGCTTTTCTTTTTGGATTTGCTGCCATAGCCTTTGCCCAACCAAGAACAACATTACAAGGCAGCAGCTGTGTGATTTTGGAGTTGTCTCTCCTAGAAGATCCGAACTCGATATTTTTAGGTGAGCCGTAGAAAACTCCCAATTCGAACATGCCGTACCAATAACAAAAAAACTTTTATGTGGGTCTTACATTCATGTAGCCATTCTATTTATTAGAATGCATGAATAAAAACACTAAAAAATATTTTCAACTAAGACACATACTTAAGGAATCAATTACAATTTTTAGCATTATCAAACTTTTCTTTAACAAACACAGCATCAATACAAAAATATACAAACACACATCAATACAAACATATACAAGTTATGGTCCCGGATAAGCAACAAATTGGTGCAAGAATAAAGAATGTTCGATGTTGGGAGCAGATTTTATTGAAAGGTTTTGTTGTTAAAATCTGAGTTGTTAACTTTTGTTTACAGAACTCAGTGACCTACTTGAAATGTTAACTTTTGTTTACAGAACCTTAGTGACCTTCCTCAATTGTTAACTTTTGTTTACAGAACCTTAGAGACATTTCTCGATTGTTAACTTTTGTTTACAGAACCTTTGTGACCTTCCTTAATTGTTAACTTTTGTTTACAGAACCTTGGTGACCTACAGAAATGGGGGATGTTAACATCGGCTTCGACGATCACAGGAAATTGCAGGTAGATGTAAATAAGGTGCGTCTTTGTTTCTCTTGTGTGTTTAATTAAGGTGATAATTAGTTGTCCGTGTACATAATAAAATGTGTACAGGGAAACAGTCTGGGGCTGCCGTTTGTATTGCAGGAGCAATAATTAAAAAAAAAAAAAAATAATAATAATTAAAAACAAACGAACAAACAAACAAACGATAAACAAACAACCAAACAAGCAAACAAACAGTCTGGGGCTGCTGTTTGTATTGCAGGAGCAATAATTAAAAATAAATAATAATTAAAAACAAACGAACAAACAAACGAACAAACAAACAAACAAAGAAAAAAACAAGCAACCAAATAAAAAAAAAGAAATAAATACATACATAAAAAAATAAGTAAATAAGTAAATAAATAAGATACAGTTTAAAAATGAAACAAACTAACAATCAAGCAAACGAACAAAGAAATTAAATAAATAAATATATTCATATGTATCTATAATATCAATAATTATAAATAATGTAATCTTTAATCTTATTATCTGCTTGATAATAAATAAACTTGACCTTCTAGCCACAGCCAGAAGCCAGCCTTACTCCGGAACCAGCCAAACCCGTGCCGGACGTCCCGACCCCCGTCCCCACCCCGTCCCCCCAGCCCCAGATTACCATCGCCAACCAGCCGATGCAGTCGCAGATCTCCTTCAAGTCTGACGTCACCATCACCAGCAGCGGGGTCGTGGTCTCGCAGCCCGAGGCGGTGGTGACCCAGAGCCCCACCCCCGGGCCGGCGGCCGCCCCCAGGGAGTGGAACTCTGGGCTGGATTCTTTCTGTGATGACTGCCACATATGTAAATATCAGGGGTCAATGGGGGTCGTCCTTTAATGACTGCCACATATGTAAATATCAGGGGTCAATGGGGGTCGTCCATTAATGACTGCCACATATGTAAATATCAGGGGTCAATGGGGTCGTCCATTAATGACTGCCACATATGTAAATATCAGGGGTCAATGGGGTCGTCCATTAATGACTGCCACATATGTAAATATCAGGGGTCAATGGGGGGGGGGCGTCCATAAATGACGTCACAAATCTAGAGGTGGGGGTGGAGTCAGATAGTATACGTAGTGGGGGTGTGGCGAAATGTGTGGTAGGATTTGTTTTGTAATTGTTAAGAACAAATAAACCCATTGCTAAGTAATTCAGGTTATAGTAACGCTTATATTTTTTACGGGTGTTAGGGGATTTTGTGAGTTGTATTTAAGAGGGATGATAAGTTTTGTGAATATATGTGACAATAGGAGGGGATGAGTGTAAGATGTGACTAATATATATATATATATATATATATATATATATATATATATATATATATATATATATATATATATATATATATAAGATGTGTTCCCCCACCTCCGCCACTCCACAAGGTTGCTGCAGTTTCTTCTGTTTCCGTTGCTACGCCATGCACTTTGTCCGGACGTCCATGAAAGAATCTTGTATGGTTCCCCTATGTGTGCCAGGCTGGCTGATCGTCATGAGGTCAAAGACCAGAGCTGAACAGAACATTAGGGTAAGTGTCGGGTTCAAATCCACGTTACGGTTGGTTTAACCCCACGTTACGGTTGGTTTAACACAAGAAAGTGTGATTTAACACTAGTTGAAGTGTGGTTTAACTCAATATTAAGTCTAGTTTAACACAATATAAATTTTGGTTTAACTAAATAAGAATTTCGGCTTACCACAAAATAAATTGTGTTTTTTTTTTAAACAAAATAAAGTGTGGTTTAACCCAAACCAGTAATTTAGCAGCATGTAAGAACAAAGAAGAACCCGTGTTACATATAACTTTGCTTTATACCATCTCCGACCCCCCCATAAAATGTAACAACATGATGGACTTCCTTCTACCACCTATTACACATTGTGTCAAAATGATAACCCACTTCTTACCAAATTTTAAACAATTTTAAGTGTTAAAATAGTTCCAAAATGTCGGATATTTTGACTTTAAACAGATCATCACAAAAGGTTGCATTTTGAACTTTCTGTGACCCATGTCTGACCCCCTCACCAATGTCTGACCCCCTCCCCAATGTCTGACCCCCTCCCAATGTCTGACCCCCTCCCATTGTCTGACCCCTTCCCCTTGTCTGACACCCCTCACCAATGTCTGACCCCCTCCCCTTGTCTGACCCCCTCCCATTGTCTGACCCCCTCACCAATGTCTGACCCCCTTCCAATGTCTGACCCCCTCCCCAATGCCTGACCCCTTCCCCTTGTCTGACACCCCTCACCAATGTCTGACCCCCCCAATGCCTGACCCCCTTCCTAATGTCTGACCCCCTCCCTTGTCTGACCCCCTCCCAATGTCTGACCCCCCTCCCTTGTCTGACCCCCTCCCTAATGTCTGACCCCCTCCCATGTCTGACCCCCTCCCTTGTCTGACCCCCTCCCAATGTCTGACCCCCCTCCCTTTTCTGACCCCCCTCCCTTTTCTGACCCCCTCCCCAATGTCTGACCCCCTCCCCTTGTCTGACCCCCTCCCCTTGTCTGACCTCCTCCCCTTGTCTGACCCCCTCCCCTTGTCTGACCCCCTCCCCAATGTCTGACCCCCTCCCTTGTCTGACCCCCTCCCAATGTCTGACCCCCCTCCCTTGTCTGACCCCCTCCCTAATGTCTGACCCCCTCCCATGTCTGACCCCCTCCCTTGTCTGACCCCCTCCCAATGTCTGACCCCCCTCCCTTTTCTGACCCCCTCCCCAATGTCTGACCCCCTCCCATTGTCTGACCCCCTCCCCTTGTCTGACCTCCTCCCCTTGTCTGACCCCCTCCCCTTGTCTGACCCCCTCCCCAATGTCTGACCCCCTCCCCTATGTCTGACCCCCTCCCCTTGTCTGACCCCCTCCCCTTGTCTGACCCCCTCCCTTGTCTGACCCCCTCCCTTGTCTGACCCCCTCCCCTTGTCTGACCCCCCCCCATTGTCTGACACCCTCCCCTTGTCTGACCCCCTCCCCTTGTCTGACCCCCTCCCAATGTCTGACCCCCTCCCCTTGTCTGACCCCCAGGGTTCCGTGATGAAAGACTGCTGCGCCGCCTGGTGGTGTCCATCTTGTGTCCTGTGTCAACTGGCCAGGGAGTACCAAACTTTGAAGCCAAAGTAACTGGCACTGTACCGGAAGCCAACAAGACAATGTTCAGATTATTTATTGAATAGGGATTATATAGGGCGGGTTTATTTAATTAGGGTGTCTTAAAGGATTTTAAACTTCATCTTTGTTTACTAAAACATAAAACAACATTTGTTTACCTTTAATTTGATTCTAAATTCAATTATCAAAGTAAACATATAGCTTAGAGAATAAAATTTGAAAACAAATGTTTTTATAATAGCTAGAATTCAATTTTGTAATGCTGTGTTAGCTTTTCCCCCTTGTAGCTGACATGATTTCAGTCGTAGCTCACACTAAGAAGAGTACTGTCTGCTTTTGTTTATCCCGTTTAAATACACAGCGAGCGTAAATTGACTGTTCAAATTGTTGTTTTTTTCCGGATTTTTAAAAAGTTCTGTTCTTTGTTTAATGATGAAGGTTAGTTCACTACGAAAGGGCGCTTAATTTTTTGATCATGAAACTAAGATTTTAGGCTCATCTGAAATGTTTTGAGTTTTTACTCCTACACCCATAACCAACGTACTTGAAGAATGCATTACAGGTGGAAAGTTTATGATAAATACAAAGTATGTGTTGTAATAATCTGATAAGTATCGCTGTAGTTTTTGTGTTACATTTAGTACTCACTTTTTAATTTAAAATATACTCTAAAGTATACTCTAAGTTGTTGGATTTTATTCTTGATTTAGCTAGAAATGTATTTCCTGTTAATATTTTCTTAAGTAAACAGTAAAGCTAGTTAGAAGAATATACGCCTTACTATACTATTGCAAGATAAAATTTCGTTTGATTGTGGTATTTTGTTGATTGCTGGATTATTACTTAAAATAACAAAAATAATGTTGTTTAAAAAAAACATCTGAATTTTATAAACAAAACATAACATTTTGCATAAATTTATTTGGTGTTTTTGTTAAAAAATCTAAACTATTTGTGCATTAATCTGGATACTTGTGATTTCTGACCAAATTTAAGCCTCAATGTAACCCTATTCTGGGTGGAGGATTAAAGTTTGAGGGTCAAGTTGTACTTAAATAATATACACCCCTGGTAACAAACTCAAAACCGCGTCTTTATAAATTGACAGAAGTTTACAGTAACTTTCACAAACTTTCAACTGTTGTATTTTTTTTTAAACTGTGATTTGAAAAAAAAATATTTTGTATTCTCTTTGTTCTACCCCTTATATATTTGAAAAGATGTGTGTTTATTTGTATTTTATTTTTCACATCATTATCAATACCCTTTACCACATGGGTCGCCAACTAAAGATCTCCAGAGTCCTATGTTCTGCTGGGGTATGGGCCGCTAAAAATATCTCCAGAGTCATCTGTCCTGCTGGGGTATGGGCCGCCAACCAAAGATCTCCAGTCCTCTGTCCTGCTGGGGTATGGGCCACTAAAAATATCTCTTGAGTCCTCTGTCCTGCTGGGGTATGGGCCGCCAACCAAAGATCTCCAGTCCTCTGTCCTGCTGGGGTATGGGCCGCTAAAAATATCTCCAGAGTCCTCTGTCCTGTGCCATTTTCTTAACCTGATTCCAGGTGAAGCCCATATTTGTTGTTTCAATGCCAAGGTCCTATCGATGTGCTTCCTGGTCTTTTGCGCTTTCCTTGAGGTTTTCACCCCAATCCCTACGTGGTGATATTGGTTAGCGGTCTGCGCAGCTTTTATTTATATCATTCATTTTTTGATTGTTAGTTTTGTTCGCGTTATGTTTATTGAACTTGCTGTTTGTTTTTTTAATTTTTTTTCTTGCGATATTTAAAACTTTAACTGCTTTTGTATTTAGCTACGTTTTAATAATTATTTTTTATTAATCTATTTTTTAAAATTGTTTTTCCAGATGTTTAAATTTAGCTATTTCTTTTGGGTTAGTGTTGATATTCTTTACATACTTTAGTTTTCCATTCGCTTTTCATATGACGTACTATGTGATGACAATATTGCTAGAGTAGGCTTATCTAGTTTGAAATAGGACGTGCAACAGATGTATCATATCACTCACTCTTTGTGACGTGGGATCTATCGATGTCCACCCCCCCCCTCCCTGCGGCACTCTACATATTTTAATATCAGTTGGCTGGGGGAAATCTTTTTTAATTGGTTAGTTAATTAAAGAGGTGAAGGTCGAGCAGTCGCGACAGCAGTAATTAATTATAAGATTTGTATATCTACTACATTTTTTTTTCAAATATTTATTAAGATGTTTAATGTGATCTAAGCCTAAAAACAGTATGAAAATTAATTTTTTGTCTTTTATTAGTGGGAAATTGATCACATTCGCGATTTTCCAAAACTGCTGGATATTTTAAAATTTTTAAAGTTTCCGTTCGGACAGTATGGTAAGGCTTATCCCAGTTCATTTAATTTTCATTAGTTACATTAGTTTCGCTATTCGCTGTATCATGGGTATATTAATAGCTTTTTGCAGCAACGTTGATGTTAGATTTAAAATATTTAAGATTAAATATAAAATGTAAGAAAATTGACAACGATGAAATACGATTCCTGTTTTTTGTTTTGAAAATTGTAAAACCATGAAAACATTAAATTATTTTGTGACAACTATCAAACGTTCTCCGTTCTATGTATTTTTGTTCCTGTCAAATTAAAAAACTATCATATTGTTGGTGTGTAAAAAACACATTTTCCATTTTTGTTGCACAAAACGTGCGAATTTTTAAAAATCGGGTATTTCCTGACAGTATTGTGTAAGGCCTAAACTCAGTCAGTATCGATTATTCGCTGATAGTATCGGATAATCCATGACAGTATCAGGCATTGCCTGTCAATATAGGGTATTCCCTGACAGTATCGAGTATACTCTAGCAGTATCGGGTATTCCCTGATAATATCGGTAATTCTATCACACTATCAAGTATTCCCTGTCAATATCGGACCTTCCCTTTCAATATTGGGTATTCCCTGACAGTATCAAGTTTTCCCCTACAGTAATGACTATTCCCTGCAAGTATTGATAATTGCTACATAATGGTTATCTATCAATTTCGGGTATCCCCAAACCTTTCTATAGCCTAAAATGAAACCAAACTACTGGACACTAAAGCTAAACTCTCAATAACCAAACACCATGACAGCAAGAGCATCCTACCATAAGACCGCGCTGTCTTGAGGTTTACAACGCACTCAAATCAATAAACCCGTCTATTTTATCCGTGCAAGCTACCAATCGATTAGAAGCATCTAGGTAGAAAGTAAGACGTGATCGATTTTGTAACGCATCTCCATAGCGCTGATTTCACCCTCTCTTCACAGTACAGGGAGCCTCAAGTTGTGTAACCACATTCTTGACCAGAGGCAGTGGTTAAACACAAACAACAACTTTAGTATTTATTATAATAGTTTATTTCATTATAATCATTATCTTTTCCCGTTTGTGCCCAAGACAGTTCAGGTAGATGAAGCAGTGTATGTTTTAGTGAATTAGGCATATGAAGAGATAAAGTAGTCAGCACTATGCCCAGCCGAATTTACATTTCCTAACGTGAGCTAGGTACTCATCAAAGCTAAGTGGACTCCACTGACTTGAACCCGGATTCGAACTTGAGAATTTCGGGTTAGCACTCTAGCGCTCTACCACTAGGCCACGCCTTCCCCGTGTTACTTGTAATAGCATGTGTAAAATATTAATGAATTAAATAGAAGGAAAATAAGAATTAAGTGAAGGCTAAATAGTTCAATATTTAAAAGATGTGAGTAATTTATAAAAATATTATGAAAAGAAGCAACTTATATAAATGTATAAACAGAGACCACACCCCTCCCTTAATATATCACACAATGTTCCACTTACCCTATCTCAACTGGTACCCGTCAATTACCCTTGTCTTACTACCTCCTCTTCCAATTACCCCCCAGTTCAATTACCCCTTCTGAATATTACCTCCCATCCAATAAACTGGAGAATGGATATCACCCCTATCGGTTTCAAACTAACCCTAAACCTAATCCGAACATGAACCCTAATTCAAACCGTAATTTCATGGTTAGGTTTAAGTCGAGGGTTGACGACCCCCCCCCCCCCCCCTTTATACAAATATACACCCCCTACCCAAATCTAATATTTTTTGGTTAGTGTTCAGTCGGGTAATGCACACAAATTCAGCCTAGCTAGACCGTTTATTGGACATTGAAAGTGGAGTTTCATCAATGTTCACACCGTCAAATCTGGCCTTGAACTTGTCCAGATGACATCAATTTCTCGTTGGGTGGGTCAAGGTTAAGGTCAAATGGCTACCAATGGAAATACGGAACTACTCATTAATATAATAAATAAAAATTTAGACGGAAACTTAATCAATATTACGTAAGTCAAAATGAAGTAATTGCTAATTAGAACTCACTCCGCACAAACGAAAGTGAAACAGTAGAACAAATATCTATGAATAAGATGCGAAGCATTTATTAAGTTTGGGAGAACCTGAGGATATAGGCCAGTGACCTTTTATTTATCTTGGTAGGCTTCAAAGAATAAACCTCAATATATCCTCATCTTATTCAAGTTCAGTGGTGTTTAGCTATGGTGGGATATTTAGCTATGGTGGGATATTTAGCTATGGTGGGATATTTAGCTATGGTGGGATATTTAGCTATGGTGGGATATTTAGCTATGGTGGGATATTTAGCTATGGTGGGATATTTAGCTATGGTGGGATATTTAGCTATGGTGGGATATTTAGCTATGGTGGGATATTTAGCTATGGTGGGATATTTAGCTATGGTGGGATATTTAGCTATGGTGGGATATTTAGCTATGGTGGGATATTTAGCTATGGTGGGATATTTAGCTATGGTGGGATATTTAGCTATGGTGGGATATTTAGCTATGGTGGGATATTTAGCTATGGTGGGATATTTAGCTATGGTGGGATATTTAGCTATGGTGGGATATTTAGCTATGGTGGGATATTTAGCTATGGTGGGATATTTAGCTATGGTGGGATATTTAGCTATGGTGGGATATTTAGCTATGGTGGGATATTTAGCTATGGTGGGATATTTAGCTATGGTGGGATATTTAG